ATAAAAATAAAGGATCAAGTTTGAAAAGTTAAATACTGGAAAAGTTAAATACTGGATCATGGCATTACTTGGAACAGTTTCTTTGGGAGAATAAAACATAGCATTCTTGTTTGTACAATGAGTATTTTTGGTAAGAGCATTTAAAATCCCACTGTCAGTGAACAGAAGAGGACTGACTGCCTTTGTCTCAGTTTCAGTAACACTCCTATACCTGATAGAAAGAATTGCTTATTAGATATTAAACATAATTTAGTTCACATGCATATACACACACACACATACATATAAATTAGTGCAAATTCTTTTTTTATGCAGGTTCATAAAGGGCAGAGTCAGAGCTATAGCAATGCTTAAATGCACATCCCCAGAAACCACTCTTCTGTAATAGAAAATGACTGTAAAATGCCTTCATCCTCACAGAAATGGAATGCTTTCATTTCTCAGTAATTCAGCTACAGTGAGCTTCTCTTACTATCGTATTTTAGTTAAGCTGACATAAAGCATTGTGGACTTGCTCATTTTCAGAAACTACAGGTCTGATGTGCTGGTAAAGCTTTTTATCCTTTTAAAACAAATAAATTCAGCTGCTACTTGATTTGAATTGACAGGCCACAGAAGGGCATGTGCAAGAAGGGCTCATTTAGGGCTTTCTACTTTCTAATTTCAACTTTGATAAATAGAAGTCCAACACAAAACTGACCATATTAAAAAAAAAAAAAGGCAGAAAATACTTCTTTAGATATTCCTTCCTTGTACTTAGGTACCATACAAACAAAACTTTCTTGCAATTCTACATTTGCAACAACTGGACACAGTTCTGGGTAATCAGCTCTAGCTCAGATTCCCTCAAGATTTAGTCCACTAGACTGGACTAGATGATCTTAAGAGATCAATTCCAGCCTCTACAATTCCTGTATTTTACTGTTCTGCACAAAATGGGGCAAAAAAAAGATTCAGGAAAATTTCAGCTTTTCTAAGCAGCTTTGTATTAAAAAAAAAATGGACTATTCCTCCTCATCTCCTTCAAATTCTAAATTTTCAGTGACTGTGAGACTAAAGACTTTGCCTGTGCATGGTGTAATCCTTCATTCTTCTTACTCAGTGTCCAGAGCTTTTTACTAAGCCTGCTATGGACTTTTCCAATGAGGCCTGAAATCCAGGTTCTGCTTGTTCAATGAAGAAATCTTAAGAGGACTTGACAATTTTCATCAGACATTTTCCTCTTTTCCTTAAGAAGATTATGTCTGTTCTGTTGCCTTTTATTAAAGGTACCAAGGAGCTAATTTTCATGTTTTCTGTGAACAGTGATGGCCTCTTTCAACAAGAGGGGCTCTTAAGGTCCTATATTTTACTGCAGCTTTTGAACTAAAATGCCTCTACAGGGAATTGCATTTTTGAAGGTTCACATATTTTGTAAACACTCAAAATCTCACTTTTAGACCCTGCTTTGCTCCATGATGACTTTTGTTTTTTTGCTTCCATCCCTGTATCTTCTTCAGAACTTTCAAGGTGGGCAGTACATTTAATAGTTGTTTTAATAAAACCATACTGATGAAACCATCATCTCTTGCCGAAAAATGGAAACAAACACATACACAGCATGTAGAAATCCTATGCTGCACCTATCCAGATGCCTCTGTGTTTGCCACTTGAAAGTCAACATCCAACTCACCAGGATAACTCAAAGCATACAAGACTGGAATGCTGAATTCCACCAACATTTAGCAGAAATATACTGCCCTTCATGTGAGCATCATAAAGCACAGTTCCATCTTGGCTTGCCTCAATTTTAATAGCTAAATCACTATCTAAATCCAGATATTCTGTATAAGATTCAGCTTTATCACCCAGAGGAACACTGCTGTTCCAGGAATCTCACTAAATTTCAACACTGGGGTCTGAAGTCATTCTCCTCTTTTTAGTTGTTGTTAAGAAAAAGAAAAAAAATCCACCATCTTTTACTCTTCACTTTGCAACTGGGGCAGTTTAAAGATGCTCAATATTTCAGTGTAATATTGATATAGAAGGCATGGCCACAGAAAACACTCAGCTAAAGAAATTTTGAACAAAAACGTGCTCAAATCTAAAGAAAGCCCTGTCTGCAGTACTACTGTCACTTCCCTCCTGCAACTAAACTGAATTCTGTGTACACAGCAATAAATGTGATGCTACTACACTTGTATTAAAGATTGATGAACACACCTTCTATCGAAATTTGGATACATTGAAGTAAAAAAAAAAGAAAATCACAATCTCAATTGCAAGAAGCAGGAGAGATTTTAGGAAAAAATTACATGGGCTTTTTTCCAAGAAGCAAAGGCATTCTGACAGGGAACTGGTATTAGGAGGTACAGATGGTGAAACAGCAGCAACACTCAAGTCCTCTGTAGTTACAGTTGCCAGACTCACTGATTTCAGAATTTTTTGCCTATTTAATGCAGTTGAATCTTTGCTATTTGCATTAAGCCTTAGATTTTTATATGAAATTTGTTATAAGTGATGGGTTTCCAAATAAAAACACAAAACCCTACAACAACAAACAAAAAAATCCCACTACAAATGAACAACAACAGAAAAAACCAATAACCCCACAATAAAAAAAACAAAACAAAACAACCCAAAACCCAGTCTATGGATTTTGCAGTAAATGTTGGTTTTGTTCGTTTTTTCCCCTCTCATGGGCAAGAATAACTCAGTTTTCCATTTTATAACAATGTTCTTGTTTCTTTCTGCCAGATTTAAACTGTAGTAGTGATCTGCAATAAACAACATTCTGGCACAGCTTAATTTTCAGTCAAATCCCTCTAGGGAACAGAGTGATTTAACATGAAATGTGTATCCCGTCCTGCTGCTTACTGTAATCTACTCAGACCAAATGGGGATAAGGAATACTTACTTTACACAAATTAAAATGAGATGTTTTGGCCAAATTTGAACTCCAATGGAGGCATTTGAAAACATTACCCATAATCTTACTTTAGTCTCCCAAGTCAAGCTAATAAAAACTTCAAACTTCTCCCATTTATCGCTGCTCCAGTTTCTGCCTCCAAATCCATTTTGCTTAACACAGAATATTGTCAGCTTTATAATAATACCTAAAAATTGAAGTACAGGCTGGGCACTTTCTCGAAAGTTTTCTGAGGGAAAGTAGGAATGACAAGTCCCATTCATGATCTTAAGGAGAACAAGAATACTGCCCCACTTTGTCTCTGAGAGGCTGTAGCTGGGTCAGCGATGCTTTCATAGAACAAAGTTTGTATGGACCCAAAGTGAATTCTCCCCCAAAAAGAAAATCACCTAAAAACATGCAATACAAGAGGGAAAGAAAAAATTATTCAAAACAAACTTTTAAAAATGCTTCATATTGTAAACAAAATATCTAGCACATAAATTTTACAGAACTAGAAATAAAAACCCATTGATATGCTTCAGAGTGAGGGTACTCTGGTCTTGTCTTTCATGGCATTATGATTTTACAGATACCATGGAAATCTTCTCCATGCTTTGGCACTAAAAAACTTTCAAGACCCCGTGTTTGTTTTAGATAGAAATTGTGGGCCCCAAGCAGTTTTAAATGTTCAATAATAAACAGAATTATTGGGGGAATGCAAGCAACACCTGCTTTTCTCTTTTACAATTATTAAAAAACAAACAACCCCAAAACTTGTTGATGGTGTACTAGAGATAATAACATGTGATACCTTCTCAAAGTTAAAACCAAATTGCAAATAATTGTGAGAAAAGAATAAATATCAGGATATCTACTAGCCCGACACATTTTAGAGATGATGGAAAACTTCATGATGAAACATTTTCTAACTCCAAACAACTGAGAATTCTAGAAATAACACGTCAACCTTGTTCCTTGTACAGTGAAAAATCTCAATTACATCTCCAGCACTTTGTAGGTAACTGCACTGACATTAGTTTATAAATGCTATTTTATGCTTTAACAGGAGTATGAAATCAAAATTAAGATTTCATGAAATGTTTTAGAGGAGTTCAATAATTTCTGAAGAATGCATCTTGTGGATTGGAGTCAGAAAGCTGCTTTCCTATTAACCTTCTAAAATCTTTTCTTATCAGTGGAAATATTCTGTGTTTGAGGAAATATTCTGTATTTGAGATTTCCCATTTTTCTGGCACATTCTTGTTCTTTCAGTATTGTATTCACCGCATTTTTAATAGTATTTTAAATACAAGAAAAAAATTAGGTGGTTCTTGCTTTTGCAGTAAGTATCTAATTTTTCCTGAGATAAGAGAGCTTGGATTCTGGCAAAATAAATCATAAGGTTTATCAAAATTCTTTCCTTCTTCAAGGTCAGTAACCATTGGGAAGTAGAAAAAACTGGTGAGATAAGCATCAGAATTTGAGTTAGGAACATCCAACCATTTCAAAATTACTTACTCTCATTTTGAAATCAGTGTGTTTTATCTATATTCTGTAGCTGCCACACTTCACCTTTTCGTCTTTAGGTACTCTTATGCTCTTGGCTGACAGACAGTAAAGCTTTGTTATTCAATTTCTATGCTCTGAACAAACCACATCTCTGATAATCTACACAAACTCACCACATTGTATTCTGTTATAAAACAATCCTGTTATAGCACAGAATTTTCAAACATGAAGCCTGGGTGGAATATTTACACATCAGATACTCCTTTCTTATATTTCCTTTTCCTTATCTTAATAATCTGATTTATGATGATATAGAATTTTTTCTACCAAAAATGCTTTACAGATAACGGTAATTTCCATAAAGTCAAACTCAATAGCTCATAGGGAGGTTTGAGATTCAATTAATAAAGGATCAAGTTCTTGGGGAAAGCATTAAATGCTCTCCACACTTAGAAATCCAATTATATTTTATAGGTGCAACTACATCTTCCTCTCTCTTAAAAGATTTGATATCTACACATACTAACCCAAAAGAGAAAGTGAGAAACTCATAAACTGATTTAAAAAAATTAATTACATGTAAAAACTACAACAATTGTACCTGCAACCACTGGAGATTTCCTGTCATCCAGAAGCTGAATAGCAGTACTGGCTGTCACCACATTGCTCTTGTTAGAAGTTTCTGTGGGGTGTGTTAAGGAGGAAAAAATTGAAACAATCTATTGCAAAATAAGGAAATTTAGGTTTTTTTTCCCCCTGGTTTTAGATAACAGTCTATGTGGATATAGTGTTCAGAAAATAAAACATGCAACATCACATATGCACAGAACATGCTGGCACTGACATTTTAAATTCCCCAGCATGCCAAAAACAAGCTTAGAACACTGAGATGAGCCATCAGATTTTGTGTCCCCTGCTAAAAGGGGCGGTGAAGGTGACGACTGGCTGGGCTTCTCAGTAATGGGGACATTGACTCTGTTGGACTTGTGTCGCTTAAAATATTTGTTAAAATGTAATTCTACCTGTGCAAATACTAAATGAAAAGTGTCACACCACAATTTGGGGTTTCACTTGCAGCCCCATGAAACGCGCCTGGGTCAAAGTAGCTGCAAATTTCAATGCCTATTTCAGATCAATATTTGAGATCAGCTACAAAACCCACTCTGTACAGACACTCTTGGGATCCTTTCAGCATCATGCATGGCTCAGAATCCAAGGAATGACAAAATTACAGACCTGTGCTGAATGGGATTGAGTAGACAAAACTCCCAGGTATTTGTTCAGCAGCTCTTCTGTACCAGAGTGGAAAATGGTCAGCATTAAAAATATTTTCCTTATCTTCAGCTGTCAGGAAGTCTCTTGAGAAAAAAAAAAAAAAAGAAAAAAAACAATTGTTGTTTGTTGCATAGCACATAATGGTTTCTAGCTTTGAAAAAAGCTAGAAACAACAACAACAAAAAAAAAAACCAGCAATCTTTTACAAAAGAAAATGGTTTAGCACAATTTTTCTCATAATACTTGCTCAACAAAAGAGTTAAATTTAGTTACTGATAATTATTTGTGACACACAATAACTTTTGTTGTGAAAGACATAAAACATAAAAAGCACTAAAACCAGTACCTCTAAGTACCACTGAAATTGTTTTTACTGATTTATATAAATAAAAAAATGCTTTGACTAAAAAGCCTTTTTCTTTCAGCACAATATAAGAACAGTGAGCTGCACAAGGTGGAAAAGGCACTGGAGATCTGCTAGTCTGTTGTCACTAGCATTCACTCTTTTTTACCTAAAAAAGGTAATTTTACAGCCCATGTTCAAAATGCAATGTAGGGGGTGGTAGTCGACAACCAAATACTTTATCCCTCAATAATTTCAGGCAATGTTGACAGAGAAAATTTATGTCAAGCTCAAGTATAATGTCCACTCCATTGTTCTGGTTTTCTGTCTGACAGTAACAAATTGTAGTGCTGTTGATGTCACCTACTTGTACAACAATATCTGTCCTCAGTTAAGCCCACAGAAATTTATACTGAATCATGTTAGTTTATCATAAATATCAAACACTGATTTTCTTTTATATGCATAACACCTCCACTAGATTCCTTGTTCTCCAAGGAAAATGGGAAACTGTTGTATGATGAGGTCTCCTGACTTGCTCTGTGTGAAGGCATCATCAAGTAAACTAATTTTTTCCTGTCTTTTCTCCCCTGGCTGCCAGGCACAGTTTGTTACTCACTGGTTGGTCAGCTGCTCTGGCCCCACAAAGAGGTTGATCCGAGAGAGCCCAGTCCGTGTCCCAAGGAAGGCAACTTCCACCCCCTTGTCAGAGTTCCTGAAACACAGCAGAGCCAAAGCTTCAGACAGCAAACAGATGAAGCTGCTTCACTGCCACAGAAAGCACAAGTGTACACATCTTGGTGATTATTCTATGCATAGTTCCCTTATTTATTGGTTTATTTTTAAATGTTGGTTTTTTAAGTTATAGTCATCTGGGTTTTGAATAGTGTGCAATGTAGAAATGCTATTTAGACTAAGAATCCCTAAAAAGTCAGACAGAATAAATTTTGTAGGATTTGTAGGAAAAGATTATATGCATGGAGTAATAGAATAAAAAGGTGTTGCATAGCTACATACCAACTATGTAATAACCAGTGATACACAGTGATTCTGAGATGGGCAGGAGGTCCCTGTCCTCTCAACATTTCTGTGCTATATTTATGCTTCAAGTCATAGCTGTGACTATTGCTCAGGTAAGCAAACATTGTAAAACAGGCAGCTGAGAGTTAAACTTAGCTGTCATCAGAACAGGCTTTAGCCCCTATAACTTGGGAAAAAGCCATGGCAGGCAGCTCCAACTGAACTCCTCTGGTGCACAGTTATCGGTACCAAGCTGGTTTTATATGGCTGCAAGAACTTCAGTCCCATTACCACAAAACCAGGCTCCAGAGCCATTTTCTCGTTTCATTAACGAGACTGAATGAAGAAAAGTCAGAATCTGAAAGGGCTTCAAAAATCTCCCCCTGGCATCATTCCACAGCTGTCCTTGTGCTTTGGATCTGTTATTTCATTGTGTGGGATGACACTTGCACCTCTCTCAATGGCCACAGTTTATTAACATGCAACAATTTCTTATCTTTATCTTCCCAGAGAAGTCTGGATAGCCCTTTGATGAACCAGATCTTATCAGGTTGCTTTTATTTATTCATGTTGCTTTTATTTATGCTGTACAGCAAAGTATTTTTTCATTCAACTTTTAGAAAACGGTTGAAATTGAGGAAAATCTAATCAGGATAATCTCCCAAATTGCCTTTCAACCACTGTATTTCATGCAAACTGCCAAGCTTAATACCTGTTTACTCCAATATGGATAAAACCTTGTTACTTAATACCTTAGTATATCATAGCACAAATGAATAAAGTAGAAGATATAAACTCTGAAAAGGATTGGCTAATTTCCTGACTCTTCCTAACAGGAACCTAGATCCCAAGTAGTTCTGGAAAATAAACATATCAAGGATTAATGAAATTATTTTCCAGTGCAAGTTTTTCTATATATAATTTATTCTGAGATAAAGAAGCAATTGCATCAATAATTTTGGTAAATTTTGCATTAAATTTCCCAAGTGCCCTTTGTTAAAAATACACAGAAGCATAAATTTCAATTAGGGTACAATTTCACCAGTTTTTCTGTGGAAATTTCATCTAATCATGACATACTCTGCAAGATAAACACTTCACATTGAACTCAAACTTTGTGGCATTTATGATCAGAGAGTCACTGTAATATTTTCATGGATATCAGGACTTGTAAGACATTCCACCAGTTCATTAACATAAATAATAAAAATACAGCCATGACTGATGAATAATGATGGACACAAAGATAACTTACTCTGATTTATTCAATGCTAGACTGGTCCAATAAGCTTCTATTGGTGCACTCACAACAGCATCAAACAAAACTTCCTGGATCAATTCTTTATCACCTACCGCAGAACAATAAAATCAGTAAATGGATGAGCATATAAAGACTTTTTTTAAATTTTAATAGGTTTTTCTTACATTTTATTTTATCTGTGACATGCTTTCAAACTTTTTGCACTACAAAGCATTTACTGCATAATATTAAACTGTATTTTACCACAATGCAGATTTTCACGTATAATTTCATTGCATTAGTAACAATTTTAGGTCAAAACCCAATGATACTCCACTTTGTGTAACTCATTCATGTGTATATTATCTAATGCTCATGTCTGCATGTGCCATAAGGTTACAACAAGTAGGTCTAGTAAGAGTCACAAAAGCTCTGCATTTCTGCAAAAATACAGAATATGCACCTATCTGAATTTTTTATTCTGCTTTGCAGTTCAGAAATGCAAATTACATATGCATCCTCCCCAAAATACTCATGAAATATCAGGTGTATTCTTTAGAGGCATGATCCAAGGATTGATTCCCATCAGTCCTGTTTAATTTATAAAACCAGATGGGGTGATAATTTTGCATAGTACAGCTACACCATCTGAACAGAAACTTGAATGTTTGGTACAGGCACATAGCTTACTGTAAAAGTGAAAAAATTGTATCATAATTAATACTACTAATAATGATACATAATTAATTCTAATAAATAATATCTTTATTGATACCCTGAGAAAAGCTCCAAACCATATGAAATTGCAGCATCAGCTAAGCAATCCTATCAATGGTTGAACTAAGTGGCTTTGCATTTTGTGGAAGGTTAAGTATGCCAGTTTTTGGCTGGATAAAGCCTGCAAATCCACATTTAACCCAGTACTTGCATTGGAGCAGGGGCTCCTTCACTGGTTGAACTAAGTAGCTTTGCATTTTGTGGCAGGTTAAGCATGCCAGTTTTTGGCTGGATAAAGCCTGCAAATCCACATTTAACCCAGTACTTGCATTGGAGCAGGGGCTCCTTCCCTGTGAGGTAGCGTTTGATCGCTTCCAACTGAGTCATCTGCCGGTGCTCAGGGTGCAGGTCAGTGTTGCAGTAGGACCTGTGAACACGTTGTCAAAACAGTAAAAAGTTATATGTACAAGCACAATCTTTCTTTGTCTTTGAACATAAAGAATTGGGCTCTGCAAGCACAAACAATATGAAACCAAGGAGGGTAACAGACACTAATTTCATGCTTTATTTAAGGCTTACCATTCGTCTGCTAAAGATACATCAGGGTGTTCTAAATCATGTAAACCTGTAACAGGAATAATAATGGGTTATTTAGGGAGAAGTCTGGGTAACAGATGGTTATTTGCATACACTCCATAATATAAACCCTTCTTGGAAAGTGCATTATTACCATAATGAAATAAATCACAGTAAACTATGTTCAAATGCACTTCAGGGTCTAACAAACCAGCAAAACTAGTTAAATCAAATCTAAAACTGAAAAGGTATAAAAAAAATTTTGTGCTGATATGTTTAACTTATGTGAGTTACTCACATAATATATTTAAAGTTTGGAAGATAATTTGAGCAAAGACAAATGCAAAATGGTAACAGACTCCTGTTCATACTCCCTTGTTCTCTTTGGCCAGTAAAGTTCTTTATGCTAAAATACACACTTCTCATTTCATGTGAGTTGTTCTCCTCTCTCATAAAGAAAAAATTCATTAAGGACAATTCCCTCAAAACCTAAGCACACAGCCTATGAACACAAACAGCAATTTATGGGATTGTTCAGAAAAGGTTTTTTGTACTAACAGGTCACACATATGCTTGTAAATAAGAACCATATCATTAGTTATATAGCACAATAAAAATGTACTTTGGCAATTTTAAAAACTCTTAAACCACTTATCAATAGACAATAAGCAAATGGGGTTCAGAAGGCAGCATCTGGGTCTAACCCCCTGGAGTACACAATGAACAAGGACAGAGCAACCATGACTGAGGAGGGCAGGGAAGCCAAAACTGGAGCTAAAACTGTGGTCCCTGGGGAGGAGAGTGAGATGAAGTGAGAGAGAATCAGTGAAGATAAGAGTGGGAACTGCTATGGTCCTGTTAACACTTCTGGGGGTGCATCTGGGACTCAGACTGCCTGAGATGTGTGGCTGGATTAAAGAACATCTGTGACAGGGATGTTGGGAACAGTCTGGGGAGGGAGTAGCTCCAAGTCTCCTGTTGTGCCCCTTTGTAGCTGCTGTGCAGATACTCAAACCTCAAGGCACTTCTTTTCATATCTCTCCTGAGAAGAACATATTCATGTCCCAAAATACAGCCAAAGAACAAAGACTTGAAGAAATTAGCTGTCTTGTTTAACAACACTGACAAAACAAGAAGAGTTGGAAATAGAGACTTCAGCATAAAATCTGAAAGCATTCCTCTATTGAAACACTTTTTGCTCAGCAGCTTCTAAAATTTTCAACCTTTCCTTCAACATTCTGAAATGCCTCCACTCTTCCTTCATCTTCAGAAACCTTCTTGCCAAACAACTTTATGACTCACAGTTGACTCCTCCACTTATTTAGTTGGAGACTTATCAAAAAGCAAAACCAACGAACAGATCTTTCCCTGGGTACTTCCACTACTATTACAAACATGCAAATCCTTGTAGCTAATGCACATACCAGCTATAGCTCTGAAAGATTTCACAATGTACAGTCTGTGAACAAAACCAACAGCCATTACAGTGCTCTTAGTGGTTACTTCATTCAGAAAACACCTCAAGTAATTAACACTGGGCTATGAGTTGTTCTCTGAATTACCGAGAAGAGGATGGAAAATGATCACATCTATAGGAGGCTCACAAACAGTCTGACTATGACTAAATCCATGTGAAGTAAAAGATCTTTAAAGAAAAAAAAATCTAATGCTCTTATGGAATCTGCAGACAAGGAGCTACCAAATTAACAATAAAAGTACTGTGTAAGCCACATGAGAAGGTAGGTACCTTACCTTCTTCTACAGTTACATTCCCTCTGAAGAAGTATTTTCCATGTCCTCTAGAGAGAGCCACACCTAAACTGTGCAGAGAAATAAAGCAGACCTTGAAATCTGTGAGACAAACAATAGCAGACATTCAGACCTATTTTCATTTTTAACATTTCCAGCTCATGTACTATGATTAACTTAGAACTGCTTGTTTCCAAACCCTCACCAATTATATTTATTGTTCAATTAGTTGCTTCAATGATGTCTCAGTTCTGATGTGCCTGCAACAATTGGCTGTATTTATGTGTGCTTAGAGGTGCAGTAAACCATTATTCCCTGGCAAACTAATAAATGAGCCCCTCTAAGCTCACTGCTGTTCACCCAGCATGAGATTTCTTCAGCTGAGCCTTGAACATGACCATGGCCTCACAATGAAGGAGACAATTTTTTGTAAATCAGACGAAACTGTTGAGAAACTACAGAAGTGTGGGAATTGATGGTGCTACTGACAGGAAAAGAATTTCAAATGTGACAACAGCATCATGACTCCTCCTGGACTAATTTTTCTGTGTTTCATATTTTTAGCTAGCATAGCTCTTTCGTATTGACTTCAGCTTCATAAATTCTCAACAGTTACACACTGTGTTTTGGTCTGGTTTTCAGTCTACCATTTAAAACATCCAAGTTTAATGAAGTGGCTGGGGGATCCCATGCCTCTTGCTATTGAACACAAACACAGAATACCTTCTGGCATTCATTCATTCATTGAAGGGGATTATCCTGAGCTAGGAATCTGCAGTAATCAGCAAGACTGCAAATGCATGGGCTAGTACTTGAAGTACATGGAAAGGCACCAAATCCAAGAGCACACAAGCTGCAATCAACAGCTTAGTCTGGGAAAGGGCTGAACACTAAACATCTTTGACACTACAGTGTGTCCCAAATCTACACAACAATCCAAAACTAGATACATACCATGTTGAAAAAGGAATTTTCCTAACTATATTTCTGTCCTTAGCACCATAACTCACACTACATGCATGTAAATAGCCTGATTTCTGTTTACCTAATACTGCAAGAGTGCCAGTGCCAAAGAAAAACAAACAAAAAAGAAAAACAAACAGCAATCAGAAAAAAAAACTCCACAACATTAAAACAAAACAAAAGACTCACTGAGTATTATCACCCATCAGTAAATTTCAACATGCATTAGAGGCCAGAGGAATGTGCCTCTAGTTTCTCTGTGTGGTAATGTAGCTCAAGTCATCTGAAACTCTTCCATTGAAGAAAATTTCAGTTGAGTATCACAACTGCCAAACTCCTGCCTCAAGTGCAAAGTACAGTTAGGGCTCTTTTGATAGGGGATTATTTCTAGTTCAAATATGAGCATTTTTGAAGTGACTACCTGTTCTTCCTTTCCTTTTTTTTTTTCCTCCTAAAATACATGCACAAATTACCAGCTTACTTGGTTTTAGTTATAGAAATCCACTGAAGGTCGTTCAGAGAAAAAACATCCAAACCTCAAATTGGAAGTGAAATGCTATCTCATTTTACATTACATTCTTGTTGTGGAAAAAAATAATAAAATGGGGCTCAAGATGTAGTTACTTAAATGGATTATAGTATTTATAGCTCTCCAAGTACTTGCGAAAGCCTTTTGTTCAATGTAAACCTCAACTGAATATTTTTTCAATGAAACGTAAGCCATGACAAACACTGGGAGTTTGCCTGTGTGAGTTTGCACAAACTTTCCATCCCTGGAAAAGCTGAAAGGAATGCTGGTAGGCTCCTTTTCCTTGCTATTTTCAGCATTGTCCAGGGATATTTCATTGTCAGCCTTTGCTGATGAGCTTTTAATGAGTTCACAAGGTCTGTATAAGCACAAATCCAATGAGTTGGGTGAAACGTCCATTTATTATGGCCGGCTCTACCTGAATGGAGTACCCTTGATGTCTGTATAATAGTAGTCATTTGTCATCACCAGGACCCGCTTCTAGATTCACAACAAGAAAGTCAGAAGGAGAGAGGGGAAGAAGTTAGTTTGCTGTAAGAAATGTATAAAAGATCAAGTGGTTAGTCACTGACAGAATTAGAAGCAAAGTTTACATTCAGAGAGTGAAAAAAAAAATATATTGCAGGGACCCATATTTATAGCAACCTTAAAAATAATTTTAAAATTATCTGCTTGCTTCACATTTAGTTGTAATACTACTATAGATATTTTACCCCTTTGTCCACTGTTTTCTTCACTTCCATGGAGAATTTTCCTGTTTTCCGGTTCACCATTGCATTTCGAAGCTGAAATGAAGGAACTGTGTGTCAATTCCTTTATTTACTTTTGCTGTACTCCTTTAAACTCTGAGCTCTCCAGTACATTCATCTGGCCTAAGTAGCACTCAATTTTCTTCATTCTTTCATTTTCAATAATTCTACTACACACTGGAGAACCTATTTACAGATTTTATTAGTGACTGTATAGACCAAGGCTCCTGCCATACTATTTCAAGCTAAAGTATATAAGATAGGAGCTCAGCATCCTTCATGGTAAAACACCTTTTTGTGTAGTAATCTGGATTTTATTTGGTATGAACAGTGTGACTACTATTCTGTATTTACTGCATAGCAAGGCAAGGACTAGATTCCTAGCTGGATTTAGCTGGTTAGACCAGGGCCCAGTGTTTAAATACATCAACAGTGATGCAGATAACAAGAAAATAAAAAAAGAGAAAACCCCTTATCTTACACTATTTATTCTGCTTAAGAATCTATGTTGGGCTGCATCCTTAATGAGCACCAGAATCTTTATCCTAACTGCATCAAAAATTAGCAGTAGGCCATGAAAACCAGAATGGCACCCATTGGATCAGTAACATGATCCAGGGGGAGCACACAGCCAGAGTGCTTCTCAATTCCCTCTGGTTGTCCATTGGTGTCCAGGCACCCCTTGAAAGGTATTAAATTTTAGCTCTGTAGTGGAAGGCCTAGGCCAGTCACAGCTTTAACAATTGGCCTGGACCTCTCCACATCTTCCAAAAGACATTTTAAACCCCCTTCAAAAATGTGTCTCAGTGCTTTATAAGCCAAAAAATCAGAGAAGCTAGGGAAAACAGAAAACAAATGGAAAAGGCTTTATACACAATGATTTAGCTGCTGCTCTGCAAGTTAAATCTGTTACTTTTCAGATCACCACTTCAAACAGACACTCTTTTCCTGTAACTTTTTCTTTCTACATGAGCTGCAGGCTCCCAAACCTGGAAGCTGCTAAGTCCCTGGTCTATCATCCCTAAAAACTCTGCCCTTTGCACACCTTGGTGCTCCCTGCCTTCCTCCCAAAGGACACACAACCTCTCTCACAGATGAATGTGCCATGATGGTGAAAAGAAGATTTAAAAAGCCCAACAACCATCCCCCAGGCCTGTAAGCCAAAATGAGCATCAGTGTCCCCAAGGATGAGGACAGGGTCTCTGGGCTAAAACTGAGGAAAGACAAGACAGGTGTTTTGAGAAATCCTCAGCCTTCGGGTTTTGAATTTGCTTATTCATCAGTTCACTTCAGGGAAGAAATAAAAAAGTTGCTGCTTAACAGTTACACCATCCATAAATGGAAATATTTAATTTGAACATTCTTAGATTTCTAATGGAAGACTTGAGTTATTTTGCTTTTTTGTGGGAAAAAGCACCTATAGATCTTTCACAGCTGTAATTTTCATTACAATTTGAAAATTCCACCATTACAAATCAATTTAGTATTTAAAATGCAGGAAAATATTGGCAAAATGAGCATTTTTATGTCTCTTCTATTGCATATCTCTCTAAACATAGTTTTGGACATCATGTTCCTGCTGAATAAATATCTCCTGCTCTACAGCACCTCATGCCAGATTGAGCAATTCCGTTGAGTTTTAAAGAGAAATTTTGAAGACAAATGTCAATGTGCTCTGCAGGCTGAGTTAGTATGGAGGGGAAAGAGAATCGCCCAACTTGCCAGTGAAATATCTAGTTTTATTCTCACAAACAAGTTGAGCATGGCTGACCTATCAAAAACTGCAAACTTTGCAGCTCTTTAAATTTAATTCTAGGGCATCTAGATTTGAATTAACAGTCTTATTCCTCTGTCAGTGAGTGTAAAAGAATAATTTTTAGCTGGAGGCATATATATAATAAAGCATATATTTTACTGTAGATTTTTTTTAACAATACATAATAGGCAATTCTGGAAATAGTTTCCTATTTTAAGTTTTGTGGTTTTGGACTTGGAGAGCTGGTCTTAATTAACCATCTACTTTCTAACATTTACAGAACAGTTCCATTTATCTTTAACATGGTTTTCATTTTTCTCCTATTGGTGCCTAAGACCCATTCCTCCCACAAGCCTCAGGCAAGTCATAGATTTACTAAAAGGATCTCCAAACTCTCAGTAGTGTTTAAGATCAAGTCTGCATGTGGGATTTAGAGTTTTACTCTTCTTTTTTTTTCCCCCTGCTTGCTGTGATTGCATTTCTTGGCTTTGTAATCTGGTTTCTCAGCTCTTCTGCAGTTTCATCTCCCTCCTCAAATGCATAAAATAAGCACTGCCTCAGCTGGCTTCAAGCCCCAAAACATCCATTCATGTTCTTTTTTTTTTTTGGAAAAAAATTATTTCATTCAGCTAGAAATTACAACAGAAAAATTTTAGGTGAGTTAATGAGAAAAAGGTTTCTATCTACATTGAAACTTCTCCTCTTTGGTACTGTATATTTGCAGACCTTGCTGGAAGACACTGTTAACAAGCTCATGCTAAAATCTCTGTTTCTAATAAAATGCCTTAACAGCAAGATAGCAGGTATTGTTAAACTGGAAAATGAGCTGATATATTTATGACAACAATATTTCACAGTGAAAAAAACTCTAACCTTAGTTTGGCCACCTTTTCCTCATTGGATCACTGAAGAAAACCCAGTCTTCACCTTTCAGAGTAATAAGCATTATTGCTCCTTCAACAAAATATCTTTCAATCAATTGCTAACAACTCAGTTTCACTGCTGCAGTATGAGATCATTCTATATTCTTGGAAAACTATGTAACCATGAAATTAATGTGGCAAAAAGTAAGAAAATGTCTTAATCAGCTTCTACGTAAGTGTTTCATGGGAGAAAAATATACCAGCAGTAGTCTATGTTATTAAAAGCAGCTATATGAATACATGAATTCTTTGCCTCTGCAGTTGAATAAACAATGCTTTACTACTCAAGCTTGGAAAAAATCAAGAAGATCAAATCCAAGGCCTTGGGTGAAGCATAGCCACGTGTAGCTTGTTTCTGTGCTACAATTAAAAATTCATTTTTAAGAAACATATTTTATAGGTAAAAGAAATATTCAGATTTAATGTATGTATATATTTTTTTCAAAATATGAAATAAAATTTTTGCAGCCTTCAGATAAGACAAAGCTCAATTTTTTACGAAATTTTCAGAAAAAGTGATGGAGTTTAGGGGTCTCAATCAGAGAAAACTGAATCTGGACTTTCATGTGTACTCAGGTAGAATCTCAATTATAAATAAAAATTGACTTTCAATATCACAGAAATTGCTCAATGTCTCATTATCTGAATCACTGAACTTCTACTGAGATATGATTAAAAAATGGAAAATTAAGCAGAGGAAGTAATGGAAGAAATATGAAGGAAAAAAGAAAACAAACCAAGGAGAAATAACAGTAAGAAAAATCAAGAAGGTTTAAAATCTATATGTAACTACAACACTAACATTTGAGAGGACAGAGGAGATTTTAAAGGTCATCAGCAGAGAAATTGGTTGAATAATAAAGGATCAAAGTTAAGAGAAAAAGCAGGGCATAAAACATGAGACCAATGAGATTTCCAAGATTGCAGAAGGCTGCTACAATATATGAAAATCTTATGAGGAAACCTTAAATAGTGTGTGCATAGAAAATGACACAAAGCCATAAAAACGTTGAAAAAGTTTGTGTGTGCACTCCAACACAAAACTCCAGCTTAGGAAGTGAAGTGGCCTCTGAGGAGAGGCTGAGGACAATCTATCACCTGGTGAAACAGAGCCTGCCTGAAACACAGATGAACTGCTCCACTATTCACCAAGGGGGTGGAGAGAGCAGGGAATGCAAGATATATATTTTGTAAGGGAGAAAGAAAATAAAGACTTCTGTCAGAACAGAGATCAAGAAATTAGGACATCTGAAGACTGACAAGACTCCAGGGGCTGCTGTACGTGATCCATCCCAGATTTCGGAAGGACACGACATGGTAAATATGGGAACCTTCAGTGGATGTATTCAAACCTCTCTGGAAAAGCAGAGGTACGAGGGACTTGAGAGGAGCTAGCACAGCACTGACATTTGAGAAGGGATGCAGGAGACATCTATGAAAAATACAGACATGCAGTCGTGACTTTGGCAGGAGGGACCTTATGGGAAAAACTAAATTACGGGACAGAAAGGTGAACACCTGGAAAGTTACGATTTAATTAGGGACAGTCAGCACAGATTCACACAAAACCAATCCTGCCTAACAAATCAGATTTATTGAGGAAGTGACAGAAGGAACAGGCAAAGGTTAAGCCATGGACATAAGGAAAGCTTTTGATACAGTACTGCAGAAAAGGCTAAGCCTGAAAGGTAAGAAAGAATAAGATAAAGAGCAAACTACAGAGTAGATGGAGCACTGAAAAATTAGGTTAATGGAAAGCATTGTGTGATAGACACAGAACTCCTGCTCCTGCAGCTACCCATGTGTCTGAAATTAGAGTTTGGAGTGAAACTCTGCTCTGCACATAAGTCAAAGAATTCAATTTTGTTTATTCATCTGATGTTTTTGACTTTGTACAGTAAGTAAAAAGCTCCCATTACTTCCATTAAAGAAAAAAGGATCTCATGGAAAGAAGTTCAGCTAATTTCTGAGTTTCATCAGTTGTCTGGGCCAGCCCTGAGGAGACATTCTATTCCTGTTTCTGGTGCTATATTTGCTATCCAGCACAAATACACAATGGGATGCAGGGAGACTGCAAGGGTGATGAGTTTTACCAAAAATACAAAGAGTCTGTGTTTGTGATGTATGCATACATTAGGAAGAAGCAATGCAAAACAGTTATAAAATTCTGAATTAAACAAAAGGGTCTATTGTCCTTCCCTTCCAGAGAGCAGCCAGGTGGCCTCTCTAATGACTACTGAAACAGTTCCCAGGTACAGTAGTGGGATGGAACAATATCTTCTGACAGGGTTTTAAAACCCATCACTTACCACATCATCTCTGTCTTCCCACTCCACCTCAGAAAGATCCACACTGCTGTAGTTGGGCTTTCTTCGTTTCTTCCCCTCTTCATACTGGTACAAAAAAGGTGGAATAGTTAGCACATATTTTAGCTGCACAAAGAATTTCACATCAGAAGTTTTTAAAAAATTCTAAATGCATGCTGATGGTCTGCAATACATTTAGCAGTAGGTAGCTTGATCACACAAAGTGCACCATACTGCTGCATAAAAGCTCCCTGTGAATGAAAAACCTAAAACTCATGATTATTTGCATCATCTCTTGCCATGATGCTGAGCTTTTCTTGATGGACACACAGGGGGGTCAAACTCAGCTGTTGTATGTTCTTCTCCCCAGATGGAAAATACACGAGGCCTTGAAGTTTATGTTAAATATCTCCAACTGGCTCTTTCAGCTGTACAGGAAGTTATATTTACTGTAATCTTATCAACAAAATGTTTACCCATTTCACTTCAAACAAGATAAGATGCAAGTCTTTGGGAAGTATGGTGTTAGCATTTGCTGATATTTCATTTTATCTACAACTTCGTGGGGAAAAGTAACACAGTAATAATGATAATGTAGGGGGTTTTATCACTCCTCACTGTTACGCTGTAAATGGCACATTTAAAATAAACATTCTCATGACAAATTAATTTGACACCGAGGTGTTTATAACGTGGGAAATTCTGCCCTCTGCTGAACGTTCAAAATCAGCCTCTTAGTGCAACCACACAAACCTGGCCCAGGGGAAGAAAGAAGTACTTCGGAAGAATAAAGAATCTGACTGGATAAGTAAAATTAGGAGACTGCATTTGAAAAAAAGAGTAAATTTGGGAGAGGATTGGCATAATGTGAAATCTGGTATTTTATCATGAGAAACCACAAGTCTTTTTATGAGGTATGACAGGAGACATTGTGATGTGTGAAATATCCCCAGATTGCTTTTGTGACTCCTCAGCAGCACCACAGAAGGATTGAAACTGTACCTGTAAGGCAATATATATGGCTGATTCTCCTCCCTCAGGCCAGGAGCAGCTACACCATAAACCAAACCTGTCAGTGTTTGAGACAAGCAATTCATCACCACAGCCAGCACTGCAGGCACTTTCAACCACGTTCTGCAGATTACACAGAGACCAAGGGAAAGCCTTGCTCTCTGAGCTTTGAGAAGGTTGTTCCCATCCTTTTTCCTCTCGGAATTAAAAGTTCTCATATAAATCCCATAGTTGCATTTGTAGACCACAATACTTAAAAATAGGAACGACAAAAATCTTCCTAAACAGAAAAATTTTAAAAATATCAAGTACGGCATATTGACACAAAGAGATTTTGAGATGTAGCACTGCAAAGTTTCTCCCAGCATGGGCTTCACTGAGCTTCTTTAATTTGTGCTCATGAAAAATTGGATACTCCAGTTTTCTTACAGACAGTTCTTTTAGGAAATTCTGTGGGATAAAATCCCGAGCAAATTCTTATTCTTTTGCATAAAATACATCCCAGTAACTCTGTTGGTGGAAGTCCTGAGAAGGGATGCAGATGCAATTGAAAAGAATTTTCATGTGCTTTCCTACCCCTCTGCCAACACCCACTGTTCTTGTAACAAGGTTGTCTACTTCTTGTCTGCTACTATTCAACAGATGGGTAAAGAGATGTAAAGAACTTCTGCTTTGAGCATGTGCTCATACTTCAGACTTTGAATTCAGGCAGCTCAGTCCTACAATTAATTTTTGCTCTGTGACAGCCCTGATAGCCAGAGAGATAACTATACCCAAATACTGAAGTACAAAATTTGCAGCCAATATAATTAAATCTCACAAGAATAACATGTGAGAGGATAACATCCCATTCATTACCAGGGCTTGATTTCTCTAGCTGGGATTTTTCAAGTCTTTCATTATGGCTGCAGCTATATCAATATTATCTTTAATCTTCACAGGGAGTAACTACATCTATTCTCTGTGGCTACACCAATTAACCAAATAAATCTTTGATCTGATTCAGTCATTCTAGAATAGAAATGGTTACAGTCAAGCTCTGAAATACTGAGGGCTGAACAGAGTTACACAGACATGAGCTGGGATCATCTGAGTAGAGCAAACAGCCCCTGTACTGATTCCAGTGTTTAATTACATCCTCCCTGACAGATGTTGAAGAGCTCCTGGGCTACACTGCATTCTCAGACAGAGAATGCAGACCCTTATTTAGGACAAGAAAACTGGATCTTGTGTGTCTGACAGCAGAAGCAGGCTTCAAACCCAAGGTAAACTATTAGCATCATATTATGGGGCTTGTATTTATTTTAATCATATGGACTCCACACCTTGCACCCAGAGAGCAAAAACTAAAAGCAAACAAATGAAGATCTGCATAAAACATCCAAAGTTCTGCAGAACAGAATCAGAAGCATTCATGTCTTAAAAATTCATAAAAGTAGACACAAAGCCAAAATCCCAATGGTCAAGCAAGAGTTAGGTGCTATAAGCATTCAAAGGAATTGTAAGTGCACTTAAATGCATTTCAGACAGGAACTAATAATCTTCATGAAAATATCACCTTATTCCCAGCAGTAAATTTATATTATGCTTCTGTAAACAGGGCATCAAACACCAATGCAAGCAGATCAGATATAAAATACTTCATAAAAGTAATGCTGACATGTCCATTCTCCTCTAGCTTCTTTCTGGTTTTATTGCTTAACTAATTTCTTAGTAAAAGTTATTCATGGACACTGAAGCAATTCCCCAGGTTTTAAAAATAGCATTCATCTATATCTTCTTCTCTGGTAGCAAACCTAATCTAACCTTTTATCTCTGGGGCTCCTGGGTAAAGTATAAAATGCTGATTTAAGCCTGAAGCCAAACCCATCTGCAAGATTACCATAAAGCATTGAAAAAAATCATTAAGGGACCCATTGGGAAAGATAGAAACTAGGAATTCTACCAAATTACTCTGATTTAAGTACAGCAGAAAAAGAGCTAGATTTAAAATGTGTGCTGCTAATCTTTGGCTTATATAAAATATGAGGTGATATTATATAGCAGTTAACCCCAGGGAGGGAAAAAAAGATACTGGAAAGTGTTAAATATCTGGACTGCAAAAGAAGAAACTTTTGGTCTGCTCAAAACTACAGCATGGTTCTAACTTACTGTTTGTGAGAAAAACCCATTATTTGGTTTTTCCATTAGAATGAGCTTTATCGTATCTTACTCAGTATCTTTTGTTTGAGACTGGGCCAGCCCTTACAGCATTGGATGATTCAAACAACGTGTGACATGTGTTGCTAAAGACTGAACCACTTTTTCACCACCCTGTACACAACCATTTACATGTGCCATTATTAAACTCTCTGCTTTGATTTTCTTTTTTTTTTCTTTAACACAAGCAGTCCCAAACCATCTGCCTTGAGTATGACCAGCCACGTGTTTATAGAGTCAGAATGTAGCAATGGGATCGAGGACAGAGCGAGCTGCATCTTAACAGCTGCAATCTTGGGTCTAAGGTGATTGGAATTTCTCAGACGTGCTCCATCTGGATAATGGGGAGGTGGGAGAGAGGAAATTGCTGTGATAGCAGCCTTGGAAGCATCACCAGACTTTAATGAACTTTCTAAGCTGCAATGTGAAATCATCTGTAAGAAAAGCACCTACTAAAAACCAACCAAAACCTAGAGAGGTAAAATAATTTCAAGGAATACCTCTCCATTGCCAAATTACTAATGAGTACAGAAGTAAGGAATTAGGTACTGAAAAAACTCCTCCAATTTTAAAACATAGCATCATTCAATGAAGTTTCATCTTTTGGAATTAGCAATACAAAATTTGGATAGTGTATTAATCTCATCAGGTGTATTAATCTCATCAGTTGTATTAATCTCATCAGCCTTTGAGAAAGACCCCTTTTTCTTTTGTTTAGAGGAGACAAGTGAAAAGATGGAAATATATTTTGCTGAGATTGAATTCTACATAATAAAGTTCTGCACAATATAATTATTTCTATAACTAACTTGCACTAAGCCATCCTATAAAAGTATTCTTATCTACAAAGTCTGATAGGAAATCTTGAATTAACAAATATCAGAGGAAAAGCACAATTAACTAAAATTACACACTTTTCTGTGCAGTTTTAAATAAACAGGTTGGAAGCACTGTCTTATTTGCAATTCCCTGGTCTGGGCAGTTTTTCAGCTCCTTCCCTTCTCTCAGACTGCACACTAAATTGATTGTCTGGGCTACCTCTGACTGCCATGCAAAGCCTGCAGCTTTTGGGGTGGAAATTGCCTCAGACCTGACTTCCCATGGTCAGTGCAACATCCAAGAGCTTCACCAGCCCTCCCAGCAAGAGCTGCTGCTCTGTCCCACTGCTCCCACTGTGCAGGGGGAAAGTGCGATTTAAAAACAAACAAACAAATAAAACAAAAACCCCAAACAAACAAACCAACAATAGTAGTGAAAAATCCCCTTCCCTGCTTCACCTGCCTGTAACCTGACAATACACCACCCCAGGGACTGAGATTTCATTCTCCATGTGCTACTTAGCTCTAAAACATTCTGCCTGGGGATACATGTGAAGCAGCATCTTAATCTAAATCACTGCTTCTTGGCCTTTAACCTCTTTATTTCGTTTGGAATACTTTTTTCTCTGCTCACATGGTCCTGTTTTGTCATTTGTGATACTTTAATTTCAGTTTCCATCCAGTCTGCAACTTGAAATGATTTCTTACTGATCTGCACTTAGCATTGAATCTGTAGAACACTAATAGTTGTTCAGTCAAAAAACAAAAGTTTGTTTCAAACCTCACAAGAACACTAAACCTTCTTAGTTTAATATTAAAAAAGCTAACATATTGATTCTTGTAGGAAAACAGGAAAAACAACTTCCATGTCCTAAGACAGATTTTCATGACCAGCCTATTATTTAAAATGTTAATCCAGAAGTTCCTGGGTTATGGTTGGTAGTAAAAACCAGTTATTTTGGATTGATTCTCCATGCCAGATGGTAGTGAAAAATTGCTGCACTATAAAATTTGCAGAAATACTGCAAAGAGAAGCTGAAAACAGGAGTCCTGTCATTT